AAAAAAATTCGATGATAATTTTAAACGCAATATTTTGTGTAGTGTAATCAGCACATATTTTGTGTAATTATTCTGCCACTCTAGAACAACATAATATATTGCTGTCTGATGTTTTCTCTCTAAAAATTCACAGGTCTATATTCGTTCATTGATGATGTTGGCGAAAAGCATTTGGTACGTTATGCTGCCAGCGCTGATCGTGGCTTTGAAGTGTTCAATTCAGTTCCGGACGCGTCGCGTTACGTGCAATACAGTGCACCGTTGTATAAAACATCACCGAAGGCCCGCGGTCGTATTGCGTACGAACGTGGTCCAGGCCGTCAATACAAGTTTATATCAGCTGGTCCCGATCAACGTCGTTCAGAAAGTGCGTGAATGAATTTTTTACGTTGCGTGCGTGTTTATGAGAAAAAGAAAATTGTGTATGCTAATGCACAAAATGCAAATTTGGTTTTTTTCTCTTGTCTTTTTTCGTTTTATTCTCGTTAAGGTACCGGACCGGATGGCGTGACACGTGGTGCATTTTCATATCTCGATGACAAAGGCCTCCAACGAAGTATACAGTACATCGCAGGAGCTGGCATTGGTTACCGAATTGTTCAAGGTAAATACGCTTAAATGGGTGTGCAATTGCAAAAGAGAAGGTTGATGGAAAAAATGTGTGCTCACACGTACACATTATATCATCCATCCAACTTAGCGACATACACACATTCAACTAATAGAATAATTCTACGGTTCCCGACCTGTCAACCTACCATGCATATGATGTTGTTGTTGTTGCCATTTCAATTAAATTGTGTCAAAATTGTGCACAATTTTCATTAGATTCGATCGTTTACGTAATCGATTAAAATGTTGTTTCCCTTTAATCAAATGTACAGGCAATGTCGTTCATTGAAGTCATTTGAACCGGCCACCGGTCATGTATTAGATAATCAGCTAGCGAGAGAGAGAGAGAGAGAGAGAGAGAGAAAGAGAGAGATCAAGAGACTGGCTCTTCGGTCAAACTAATACATAAACGATTGCGATGAACGATTTTATATCTTAAACGCTTGACTTTTCTTCCTTTCTTCTCTTTCATGATGGCCCTTCTTGTTCATCGGCTCTTTCACTTGCACATATTCGCTATTGGCGCCCGGTGCTTCATCGAAAGATAAAACTGGACCAGGTACGCATTTGCTCCCTCGACCAGCCGTTGTGGAATTCGGAATTTTGTATCCACGAGGCGGTGGAGCAGCTGGAGCTGGAGCAGGCGGGAATGGCTCGGATGGTAATGGCATACCGGGTAACGACGGGATAGGAGGAAATGACGGACCAATTGGAGGAGGTAAAAATCCGGATATTAGCATTAAATCAAGTGCTCTTCATCATTCACTCAATAATTTAGGTGGTATTGGTGGTCCGGGCGGTGTTGGTCCGGGTGGACTCGATGAAGAAAATTCAATCGATTCTGATGGATTCGGAGACGTTGGAGGTAATCGTGATGATTTCAATGGAAATCAACCGGGCAACGCGGATCGTGATCGAGGTTTTGGCACTGTAATCACCAACTCAGGCGATACATTTTTTGGAATTGCCCCTGGTTCTTCTGCAAGAGCACATGTACAAAACATCGATTTAAAACCATTCGTCGAAGACGCCGCACTTTCACCAAGTGAAGCCCTCAGACGTGATGAACGACGATCGCTGCGCCTACGATTTAGAGGCTAAATAGTAAAAACATTTCAAAATTGTATATCCAAAATCAAATTAAAAATGCAAAAGAAAATACACGGAGCTTCCAACGGAAAATCCATACCATTTTCTAACAATGACAACATTTATTCTTTTTATCATACAAATTTTTTTATCTTTAAACATGTTTCATCATTTTTTTGTTGTTGTTGTTGTATGTGTTTGTGTGTGTGTGTGTGAAAACTAAACATTTCCAATAGTTTTTTGTTTTAGTTATTATTCCTAAATTTCCCTCAATTTGTTTTTCTGACTCACAGCGTTTAGTTTTTGTATTTTTTAAATCAATCGTTTTCATAAAATCTCGTTTATTTTCCGATACATTTGATTTTGCAACTAGCTGTGATGATCATTCACAATATTCGTTTTATTTAATTTTTTCATTAAAAAAAATCACAAAAAAAACATTCGTTAGAGAAGATGATAACAAAAAAGTTGTGAGCAAGAATAAAAATTAGGCAGAATTCATTATCATTGATTATGTGATTTTTTAGGTTCGTTTTTGATTGTCAAATTTCGAATTAAACAAAAAAAAATAGCAATAAATATGAATCGCAAAATTGCCGAAAAAAAATAAATAATCAAAATTAGAAGAAAAGATTATAATATTTAAAGAGAAAAATGCACATAAATTTGAAGTTGAATTGAAATAAAGAGCGAAACAAAGAAATAGAACAGAAAACAAAAACCAACATTTCGTGTTTCTACATAGCTACATTTGTTATTATCCACAGTTTTGTTTGGGGCTTTTGTTGCGTAAGTGTTTTCTTTCTCGTCATTTTGCTCGTGCTAATAATAATTGCTTTTTTGAGGATTTGTTTTCATTTTGAGTTTGAATTTTTTTTCTTTTCTTTTTGGTTATTTTGTTTGCCGTGTATAATAAATATATTCAATGTATATATGTATAATGTGTATATATTACAATCGATGGGTATATTTCAGTCAACGAAATATGAAAATGCGCGCATTCTTTTTTTTTCGCGTCAGAATTTCGAAATGATTATATCAAAAAGTGAGAGAGAGAAAAAAGACAAGTTGTGTCTGTTTAGACTGCGCACGTTTTGTAGCGCTTGCACCTCACGATTACATCATATTGAACATCGAAATTAAGTAATTAATATCATTTTTTGCTTGGTTTTCTCCTAATTTTCATGTTTGCATTCATCGTTGATTGTACAATGTTTCTTTCTTTTTTTTCTTTTACTTTTCCATTTTCATGTTAAATTTATATTCAAGTGTGTGTTTGTGTGTATACATCTAATATTTTGGCATAAGATCACCTGTATCTGTATGTCTGTGAGTGGGAACAAAAACAAAAACAAAACCCAAAATCTAATTGCGCACCACCTCGGTCACTGGCCGTCAATTTCCGTTAAGTAGTTTTCATTCTCGTTTCTCTTCGATTATTGTTTCTTTGGCTGGCTCGATGATGGTGGTGGTGGTGTCCATAACACATGCCAATTGCTCGTTCGTATAATATTCCTCGCAAATGAATGTGTTGCTTTTGTAGAGTCGTGCTCGATCCGATTTGGCCATATTTTTCATGCGTCGTTCGTCGATCACTTCAATCGAATCGTAATTTTCATCATCACCGGCGGCGGAGACAGAAGCAAAGGTGCCGTCATTGTTTGACCGACTAGTACTAATCACAAAAATGTGATCAAGTTCGCTGCTCAATTTGAATTTATTAGCAGCCGATGTGGTGGCTGCCGGAACAAATGTACTCTCTCGCTTATGCAAACTCGATGAATTACTGCGAAACAATGTCTTCGGAATTTGCCGCACCGATGATGATGGTTTTTCGGCCGGGTTTTCAATTTGGACCGACGTTGTTGCTGTTGTTGTTGTTGTAGTACACTCATTCGATGTACTGGCTACTACTACTGGATCGACACGATTACAATCTAAGATGCCCAATGTTGTTGGACGCTTTATTTGCACGGATTGTTCATCACTTGTTGTTGTTGTTGTCTCTACCGATAATGTGGTTGATATTTGCACTTTGTTTACTACGTTTGGCGATTGTGGCACTTTTGGTACTACTTCCTCCGCTAGAGTCTGATCGATCGATAATTGATACACCGGAATATTCGCCGGCTCGGAACAAACGGACAGTTGACTTCTGCGAATTGGACACAAATTCAGGGCGATTATTTAGCAAGATTAAAATTTTAGTCGTTCATCGTTTTGTGAAGTGCAAACTAGAGTGCAAAGAGCACCTATTTCAATTGTCACTCACTTAAATTTCCCTTCAACCGATGGAGTTGACGTTTGTGCAATCAACGTGCCTGCTTTTCGATACGGTGGACTCGTTATGATTGCCTTCTCTAAAATCTCATCCGTTTGTACACCTCTTGAATCAACGCTCGGTGTTCGTGACACACTGGACGATTTGCCACCCTTACGAAATATTTTCGATATGCCGGAATTGGTTGAATTGCTGCAAATGAATGGGTTAAAATCCGATTTTGTGAATGTAATCAAGCGATTGGATCTCTAAAATGGCGAGTGATTGGTTCATTGTTTTACCTTCGATTATCCGAAAAATTCGTTTTTGATACAACATTATTATGTACTTCAGAACTGTTGTCAATTTGCTTTTGACGCGCTAATATATGTCGCTTTCCCGTATCCGACCGCTTATTTCGTTCACGTTTATTGCCAGAGAACTCACCTAAAATCAAACGATATTTAAATAACTCGGTTCAGTGCACAAGCAGCAATTCGACAAAAATTGAAACCGACAACTGATTTAATTGAGAATTAAAGTTTAAAAAAAATAACGGAAATAAATTGACGCGTTGCGAAAAAGTAAGAAAAATTTATCTCTCTCATTTACCCATTGAATTTTGCGAATCAATTGACGGTTTGGCACTGGTAAAATAAACGCCACCTTCATCAATCGATTTATTCAAGTTATTCCGATGCATGCTACGAATGCCGCGGGCAATTCGATCCTTCTTTGATGTGCGATGGTGTTGACGGATTCGTTGCGCTGTCGGTGATATTGAGTTTTGCTTCGGGATCGTCGGTGATCGATTGCATGACGTTAAATTCGGTACGCTACCACTGCGAGAAAAACGACGGTCTTTTGGCGAATAATTTACAGATCTGAAAAAGGTAAATTCGAATTTTCTTTTTATTGCGTTGTCAATAAACAATTGAAACGGTTCACTTTCATGTCCGTTTTATATTTATTAGGTACATGTTAAAGAAATGGTATTCGTTCATTGGCGAATCGAAAAAATGTATCTTATAAAAGTGAGCAGCGTTACTTACCCAATGAATCTTGAAAAATGAACAAGAGCGGCGGTTTGAGCGGTTCTTGATTGAGCTGGATTATCACCGAGAGGTGATGTGCGAAATACGCCCAGCTGATTATCCCAACGTGTTTGGGATCCGACATTTGATGACGACATTCCCGGTGCTAAAATAGTGAATAAAACGCATAAATCACAAAATTGATCGAATCAATGAACATTTTTCCCTAAAAAGAAGTGCATACAAACGACGGCACAGTTCCAACACGAATATAAAATGTAATTTGATTATAAACATGTTGATACAATTGAATAAAAAGATTATTTATGTACATAGTAAGAAAAAAAAACCTTGTGTCGTTCGTAAATTGCGTAAAATCGGATGTAAAACGATTTTCTTTGTTGAAAAAAAAGGTCAAACAAATATGGTCAAAATGATTTGATTGAAGAGCAAAAGCAAATGGGAAAAATATTGGAAGAATGAAAAAGCAACGCAACTCAATGCACAAAAATTAGCAAAAAAAGGAAGGAAAAAAGAAAACAGAAGAAATTCAATTCTTGTTATATGGGATTGAGACAATTTTCTTCTTTTGATTCGAGACCTGAGTCTTGTTGGGTGATATGGTTTTTTTCTCTCATTATTTTGTTGTGTGCGAGTGTGTGTGTGTGTAGTGTTGAAAAATGTGACTTACCGGCTGTCCGTCTCGCTGAGTTCATGCGAGTCCCATTAGCACGGCTATTCGTGCTTAATTTCGCAAATCTCGCGGGTACGACCTTAGCTGCTGAATCCCTCGCTTCAAATGTCATTACACATGCCGCGACTATTATAAAGCCTATGGTTTTCGATTCAAATTCAAGTTAAAATGCCAAAATGAAAAGAAAAATGCAAACTAAAAATGAAGAGCGGATTCGAGAGAGTCGAAAGAAAAAGAGTGAGAAAAGAGTTCGCGGTCCAGACCAACTAGGAGGAATCAGGTGAGCATTGAGAGAAAATAACGGCTCACAATCACGAGGTTAAAACATGGGGATGCTAAGAAACATTGCAAAGAACATATATAGTGGGTCTAAGCTAAGTGTTGTGTTACTTCCTGTGTATTTTTCTGTAGTTGCCGGTGAATGGAGAATTGTTGGACAGAGAGAGAGAGGAAACATAGTAGACTAACAAAATAGCATCGATTCTAATCGACTTACACCAGATTGTGCGATTGGCTTTAGTACGTAACCTTTGCAATGTCCATCCGAAGAATTTTGGGCGGAACGACTTCACAGCTATTTACATACTTTTTTCTTTGTTCATATAAATATTAAAATGTTTATTATGTACAGTGAGAAGCCATATTTAGCAAACGAAACGGAGCATAAAAAGAAATCTATAAGAATATGAATGGAAAAAATTAAGGCCCAAAAAAAGCAAGCAATGGATGGTCGTAGTATTTTTCATTTCATCCTCACTCCAATTGATTGATTGATTTCCTGTGTCGTTCTGGTTTTTTTTTCTTGTTAAACTACGAGCTAACTATATAAGCTAAAGCAATAGATTTTTTGTCTAAGAAAAAAGGTTGAATTCATTCACGAAATTACGGAGTATTAAAGCTAGAAATAGTTTTGGTGATTGGGTGACGGTGCGATGGTAAGGAGTTGTTGTTGTTTTTTTTTGTAATAAATTTCTGGTGTCGATGGCGTGAATCTCAAGCATTCATTCCCAGGAATATTTGTGCAGTATTTTTTTTTGAAATTTATGGTGACGACAAGTGTGAATAAATTAGAAGCGAATAAAGATGTACAGAAGTGTTTGTTCAAGTATGTTCATTCGAGGGTGGTTTTTACAAATGTGTTGGTAAAATTGTGTGAGTTTATTTATTCTGTTGGCGAAAATGGAACTGAAAGAAAATGTACAAATGATTGTGTCTCTCAGAAGAAAGGGAATGAGCGAGAATGAGAGACAGACACAGAAAGATAGATAGATAGATAGATAGAGAGATTGGGGCGCAAAAAAAATGCTTTTTCAAATATATAAAACTCATAAAGAAAATTGGTTTTCAAGTTGTAAATTATGTTGTGATTTATGATCTAATTATCTTACCCCCACAACCCATCACAATTGGGCCAGCGTATGACAGATTATGTAAATGAATTCCTTTCGAATCGGGTTTCACGCGAACCGTTGAAATATTTCGCGTTTCCGTATGTGGCGATATGTGCTCCGCATAATAGCCTGTGCGCATAAAGAATGATGGGACGAAAGAGGGTGGTCGGAAAAACACATTTGAATTGTCACTATTGACTATGATTTTGAGTCAACCATATTTATCATTTTGTAAATAACTGACCTATTGTTGCCATACCAGCGCCGATCAACATCAGCAAAAGACCAAGAGCGAGCGCTCGACAAGCGTGCCATAAACATCTTGACGTCATTTTGCCCCGTACCTAACCGAATGACAGCAAAAAACAACAAACACACAAACGGAATTTTTAAATAGCACAAAGCAAACAGCATTCAATTGAATGGTGATGACATTGAACACATATAGAGTGGAAAAGTGGGAATTTTGCGATGGCGTCGAAAAAAGTCGTAAATTTTCATTTTTTTTTACTTTCTTTCAAAAGAAAGAAAAGATTCCCGCGTTTTTCCAAGCCATCAAAGATCCCATTTTTTGTGAAATGAATTTTTATATAAAGAAATAGAACGAAATCAACATACCACTTGCACATTCCATGTTGCTCCTGTAGGTAATTTTTTTTTTTTGCAAAGAACAAACAAAGAAATCCGTTACGTTTCGCAGAATAAAGAAGCCATTAAAATTTAATTTCGTTTGTCGTTTTCCCGCATATAAAGTGTATACTACACATACCTGATGCTGGACAAGCACGACGCACTGGACCGAGTGAGATTTTTCGACGACTTTGCCATTTTGCTGCCACACCACGAGCATGCATTTCGCTACATACAGATTATCCACAGAGCTAATCCCAAATTAACGGGTAGGAGGGGTCGGTGCGATTATCCCAATGCTCTTCAAATCAATTATTCTTCTTGATATGTCCCAATTTCTCATTCATTGCCTCTCATTTACTGCATCGCATAAACATTTTGTCATCATACTGTTGATAAAACTAAATATAAATTATGTTGTACACTTGGGTATTCAAAAAAAAATGGTATGTGTGAGACAAAAAAAAGCACGTCAGTGAGATGCAATTGAAGGGATAATTACAATCATCGCGTCCCTTATAAACGCCATCATTCATATCATTACAATTAACATGGGGCGTAGATAAATTTATCAATAAATTCATCGTCACCAGCAATTATTATGAGTCATGACGAAGGCGCAATAATTTTCGATGAAAGCCGTCGCGAAACGAGAGAAAAAACGCGACGGCAGCAAGTGAGCGAGAGGATGTGTGCCACAACTCATCAATCATGTGATTTTATGTGACGCTGTTGCGATTGGGCTCGTATCCCGCGTATAAATGTAGTGAAAAAGCGAGAAAAATTGACAGTCATAAAAAACACTCGATAGAAATGTATGTGTGTATATAATCAAAAAATAAAATGTTAAGGCTGTCAAATCATCACCGCCTAGATTCTTCTCCCTGGATATTCGCGTTTGTGTATTTTTCGCTCACTTGCGATAAGCAATCATTTCATCGAACGGACGAAGTCAAAGACCAAGACCGAAAAAGAAAGAATGAAACGAAGACAAGTGACATGAACTGAAACGACGATGTTCGCAATAAACATTGCCCGTGGCCACAAACGTACACACACACACACACTATATATATATTTTATTGGGAAACGCAATACCAAAATTGATTGTGCTTCCAATTGCAAACTCTAATGTTGCGTTTCGTTTTTTTTCTCGTTTAGTTCAAACGCAACAAAGCTAGAAATAAATTGTGATTTATCACTTAAATCGGCAATCAACAACAACAACAACACAAAAAAAAGTAATTAACAAACTTTTCTGATTTCCTTTGCGCGAGAAAAAAAGGATCCAACAACACGACAACTGCGATGAAAATACTTTTCTTTTCCGCTCTCTCTCTCGGATGATGTGTGTGAGACGATTCACTTGGGCTCGACACAACGGTTGCTTTGGACTACATAAAGTGTGATGTCAAATACCAGAGGATGCACTGCCTGATTCACGTTAAAATGGAGCAAATTTCGCTTGAATTGCCGTCGTCAGAGTCGAAGCCGATGAGAAAGAGCAAAACTTTATTTTTCTCTTTTCTCGCTGTTGAATGAATTTGATACACAGAGAAAGTTGGAGAAAATCAGACACACATACAGCGTTACTCGCACGCATACAAATACGCACATCATCTCGCTGGCTGACAAGATGCTGGAACATAGGCACAATATTTTACGCGCATTAATACTGTGAGCTCATCTGCTCTTTTGGCACCGATTTGATGTGAGAACAACCAAAAAGGAGAATCATTCTTGGGCTTTTCACATACGCACTCACACAAGCACACGCATACCTATTTCGATCGATGTGTTAGTTCATGTAAACGGTTTAACTCTCAAAAACCCTAAGTGGAAAATCATTTGAGCCATTTCCACAATTACGGTACGGTTCGGTGTGGAAAAGCAGTGAACCTCTGCCAGTAGTGACACTATATGTGGTATCGTCTGTATTTATAGAATTTGCAACAGGTGACATGCGCGTCAACCCTATTGATTCTCTCTCTCTCGCGCGCGAAATAAACGAATACGTAAAGCACGCGAATGAAATCCAAGCAGCAGAAACTAGTACAAAAGTCTCATCGCTCTCGTCGTCAGTCAAGCATCCAATTTTCCATCAAGCGCGCGATACGAATCCACCTTCATCACTTCACTCTTGCATACAAAACAGTCGGTGTGTATGTTACAGCAGAAGATGAAACGGGGAACGAAGGAACAAAAAAAAAACATAATGCGAAATTGTTTTCAATTGGAAAACTGTTGTGTATGCTTATGCTTAACTGGATGCAATTCAATGTGAAATGTCTCGAACGGAATGAAAGAACAACAACAACAGCAGCCACGATTCAGTAGATAATGTATGACACATTTTGTGAATCACTTTATGTTTCGCGGTCTTTCATCATCGCATTATCATATTGCGATAAGAAATCTGGCTGTCTCATTTATTCAGTTCGTCTGAGCATACATATTTTTTTCTTCTGCAAAAATCCGATAATATGAAGAGCCTCTCGTCACACTCGACGACAACCGTGTTGTTGTTTCATGTACATGTGTTTGATAAGTGCTGCCTTTCTCAATTGTAATAAATGATTCGCGAATTTTCACTTTACAAAGCAACGCCAATGCTGAAATGAATATCTATATGTGTATATAGAATTGATATATAGAAAAAAGGGTAGAGAGCTTAAAAAAGTCGCCTTTTCTACACCTTTTAAATGAATTTGTGGCTGTAATCGTTTCCATCATTTTTCGAAATGACTGACGGCGAAATATTTACACACAAAAAAAACGAAATATCAGAAGAACACAACGGCCTTGTGTTCACTTGGTTGAATTCATTCAAATTAAATCGATTTAAAAGGTAAGAACGTTAAAAAACCGTCTTTTACGCGCGTCATTCGAACATGAAAAAAAACCCACCCCCCTCATCTGTGTGCAGTGCATGCATTGTACACACATGTCTATCGGTGAACAATATGTAAGGAAAAAAACGGAAAACTGTAGCCGACAAACGTTGTCAACGCGTTTTGTTGTTCCACTTCAGCGATGCCATAGAAACCGATAGACAACAAATGGCCTGCTCCTAATGTCATATCCAAATGCAACGCATTTAAACTCATTTCAGAAACTATTCACTCACCAAATGTAGTTTTGTGTTTTTTTTTTGTTTGGTGTGTTGGTTTCATTGTAGTTTATTATCATATCGCTGACACAATGATTTTGAATTATATTAAAACAATTACCGATGCTCAGGTTGGATTTTACATACTTTTTGATTGAATACAAACAATTTTACGTTTAATTGAATTAATTAGAATTAAAAACTCGCAATTTTTGTCATATAACACAATTTTTAGAATCAACCAAATCGAATATGTGGCATATCATGGTCGCATAATCAACAACGATTGGCCGTGGCAACGGTGGATCGAACGATTTTATTGTATGATGAAAATGGTGAAAAACGTGATAAATTCGCCACAAAACCATTGGATCAAAGCAGTGGCAAGGAATCGTATACAATCCGTCAAATTGCATTTAGTCCGGACTCAACGAAATTGGCCGTCGCACAAAGTGATAATATTGTGTACGTGTACAAATTGGGTACGACATGGTCGGATAAGAAGGTGATTTGCAATAAATTCCCACAAACGACATCCTTAATGGCAATGGTATGGCTGTCGATTGGACCCATCATCGCAGGTAACACATGATGGCGATTCCGGTAGCCAGCACACATAATTTTTATTAGGGCCAATTTATGGTGTATGTGTGTGTGTGTGTGTGTGTGTGTGTGTGTGTGTGTGTGTGTGTGTATGTTTCTTCCTATTTTGAGAATGAATGGATGCGGACATTGTAAATATATCACCGAAATGGATGGTATGGTGAATGAACCAAGGCTCTTTTTTTATTGTTCCACTTGTGTGCATTTTGGAATTCATTGACCCGTGTAAGCATCACATATGGTGGTCACTGGACACACATTTCAAGTTTTGATTTCGACTCTTTGATGTTTGTCACATCGATTCGTTCTATGGATTCGACAGTGCTAAATACGATTTTACGGTTTACTTCAAAAGATTCTCTGTTTCCGGTGCGAATGGGCATCGATTGGAGTGAGAGGAAGGGGGAAAGAGTTTGGTCTAGTCACCCGCGTAAAAATTAGTGTATATCTTCGGTTTACCTTCACCTTTTGACGTCATTAAGTAAATATAACCGTCGACTATTTTATGACCATCGATTCAAGCAAAACAATAGAAAATCCATCTGTGTGAAGAAGAAGGAGAAGAAAACGACGACGACGACGACGAACACAAAAAAACGCTCCAGTTCAGTCTGATTGAATCATTTTTTTGAGTTCTGCATCGTGCACATTCAACTTTGTCTATTAAATTATAATTAACGTTTATCTCCGTTTGAATCTGGCGACCTTGAAGCCGGGCTTGGAAAAAAAAAGCTTTACGTATGCCGTGTGTGTATGTGGCTTGGCAACCGATTTTAATTGACTATGTCGAGAGAAGTAATTTGTCTATTTGCTTCGAAAACAACACAAATTTCCGGCTTTCCCACGACAATTTATTTCAATAATATATGTTGCTGGTTTTTCTCTTCATAATGATTTCGGAAATACAATTCACTGAAACCGTCTTCGTCCATCATGTGTGGGTGTGTGTTATTGAGTGTGAAAATTATTGAATGCGTCATATTTAATTAAGTAAATATATGCGATACACAATAGACAGTGCCGAAAATATTTTTCCTCATGCATTGTATGCAAATTTGGCCTTTTTTTTTCTTCAGTCACCCGAGAAGTTGTGGCGCTAGCAGTGCTAGCCTAGCACCAACCACTCTTATCATCCGATACAATCTCATGAGCATTCTTTCTGCTTTTAACAAATGAAATAACAAACAAGAATTTCGTAATATAATTAACAGGCCTCGAAGATGGTAAAGTTCGTGCGTTGAATACCAAAACAAATAAATCACAAAATTTGTACGAAACACAAAGTATGGTGGTATCACTGGCGGCCAATGAACGTGGTACCGGTTTTATTTGTGGCCACGATGATGGTTCGATTATTCGATATTACATCAGCGAAGAGTCGGGCGCTCAAGTGTCTGGCCGAATAATTCAGCATCAAACGACACCGGTGGCACTGGCCTGGGCCAATGGTTACATCATTGCAGCTGGCTGTGATCGACGCATTCTATTTTATGATTCACAGGTGAGAAGGGAGCCTTGGTCCAAATATTTTTGATGAGCGATTTTCGTTAAAGGGCCACGCCAGTTGTTGAATAGACTCGCTTTGGAATTTTGTTTTTTTATTTTTTTTTCCAATGAAATATTTTTGGATGAAGTCGACTGGTTTGGTTTGGCTTTGCATGGTTTGGTTGGTTTGGCTCATCTTTTGTTTTCTACTTTCGTTTCATTAAAAATTAAAAATGAATTTCACGGTGAACTACGAGCCCAGTAATTAAAATTGAATTTAGAATATAGGCCATATATTTCGATCAAGATTTGATAGAAGACAGTTTTTGATGCATTACACGTGTATGTTTGGGCGATTCATTCAATATTTCAGGGTCGACAGTCACGTCTATTCGATTATTCGCGTGAAGAAAATGAGAAGGAATTCACGATAGCATCGGGCAGCCCAAACGGGCAGGCGGTTGCAATTGGAAGTTTTGATAAAATACGAATATTCACATGGAGTCCACGTCAGACTGCCTGGAATGAATTGGCCACCAAAGAAATCGATAAACTGTATTCGGTCACAGCAATGAGTTGGCGACGTGACGGCGCAAGGTAAACTACCATTATCGCAATATCACGATCAATTTCAAGTTACTGTTATGCAATTGTTGTGTTCGCATCTCTGAAAACGTATGCTTTGTTACTATCAGATTAGTGATCGGCTCATTATGCGGCGCAGTAATTATGTTCGAATCAGCGCTGCGACGGACCATTCTACAAGATAAATTCGAATTGACATTCGTGGCGCCGAGCCAAGTGCTGGTTAAGGAATTGCAAGAATCAGCCGGTGGAAATGTACTCATTGAATCACAACTTGGACTGGAAATTTATGATGTTCGCATTATGGGTTCGTTTCAATTTTGACACTTTTGAATGATACTTCTTCTGTCTAAACCAGAATGTTTGAATCACATTTTTGTATTCGAAATGTAGGTAAAAATAACTACCTCGTTGCACGCACCGATGAATCGTTGATTTTGTGCGATTTAACGCGGAATTTAACGAGCGAAGTATCGTGGACGAAAACTGGTGATCATGAGAAATTCTACTTTGAAAATCCAAACGTGTGCCTTATATTTAACGCCGGTGAATTGTCGCTGGTGGAATACGGCGATAATTTCATCTTGAGATCCGTTAGAACCGAATTCGTCAATCCGCATACGATTTCTGTACGGCTAAATGAACGGGGAAATACAAAGTACACATAAATTTTTTATAAATGAATTATTTAATTTTTCTATCAAATTTTAAATTGAATATTGATTTTTTCTCGCAGAGACAACAAAAAATTGGCATATCTGTTGGATATGAAAACGATTTGTGTAGTGGATTTGATTGAGGAGACAACCATTACGCAAATTCATCATAATTCAAAAATTGACTGGATCGAACTGAACGAAACAAGCCAAAAGTTACTGTTTCGCGACAAGAAAATGCGGTTTGTTCTTTTTGGCAGTAAATTTTGAGTTTTTTTTTTAAATCTTGATTATATTTTGCCTTTTTCCCATCTGTCGCTTTGTTTTCCAATTTTTTCATCAAATTTTTTCGACTTTTGATTTCTTTTTAATTCAAATTTGATTTATAAAATTCAATGAATTTTGATGTGACAACATTTTTTTTGCGAGAATTTCGTTTTTTTTCTTCAATTCCAGTCTATATTTAGTCGATGTAATGAGTGGCGAAAAGCAATTATTATTGCCAAAAGCGTTATTTGTGCAATGGGTGATTCATAGTGATGTCGTTGTCGCGCAGACAGACAATAATCTCGAGATTTGGTACAACATCGATATGCCGGAGCATAAAACATTAATGCCTGTTCGCGGTGAAGTCACCGAAATTATACGTGGAAATGTCCGTATTATTTATTAAGAACATTTCCGTTAATAGAATCAAAGTGTTATGCTCATATTTAGTATTTGGCACGCAATAAGAGTCATCGCTGCTAAATAATAAGTCACCAATTAATTATTAACGTTAATTCTATAGGATAAAACCGAGGTAAAAACACGTGACGGAGCGTCTGAGTTTACTTACAGTCTTGACGAGGGCTTAGTGGAGTTTGGTACTGCAGTTAATGATAACGATTTTGGTCGGGCAATTTTGTTCCTTGAAACACTGGGCGATGTCCCTGCAGCCAAAGCGATGTGGCACAATCTGGCTAATGTCGCCTTAAATCAACAAAATATTTTGGTATGTCAAACAAAAAAATGTTGAATTGAAATAAAACGATTATTTTACTAAATGGAAATGATTGCAACTATTTGGAATTGCCGAAATTGCAGGTGGCACAGCGTTGTTTCGCAGCACTGGGGAATGCATCGAAGGCATTCTACTTGAGCGAAACCATGAAAATCGCAGAGAAATATGAAGAAACAACCGGTCCCGGTCTGCAATGTCCTGAAGTTCGTGTTCGATTGGCACTTTTAAACGCAGATCTTAGGTTTGATCTATTTTAAATGAAACTATCATCAAAGAAAAACAAATGGAAACAATTACAAGAGAAATTTTCAAAATGACGTGAAGAAATTTTTTTGATTGAATTCAAAAGAATGAAAAAAATTCAAAAGAAAAATTGAACAAATTCGAGTGGAAAATGGAATATGAAAAAAATTAATAAGGAGAAAACGATAGAAACGCAGTATAGCATAGGATAAAAATTGAATTAATAATTATTAAGGTTCATTATATTGAACCTAATACACAAGAATCAAAGCATGACCAAGACTCAAAGATTTTCACATAAACATGCCCTAAAAATGGAAAGACTTTAAATCACATTAAACATATATCTATTTCCAGAACGGCCGAAATGATTTACATCGAGCAAGGGAACATTGAGTCCGCGTTGCAAATGTACAAAGACCTCCGAAAATGGGATGATGCAATTAAGTTGGCCGACCGTCGTGGTTATTCGGATATCGAAAGTCTATTGAAGGAGCAAATGACATTCCTGTTGAAAAGCAATCAAGAACAAAAAGCTGGCCAAGTTTTGGAAGCTCGTGGTGAGACTGATCAAGCGATGACATTGTATCTTAAAGCGAATCGACCGACCAAAGCGGCGAGACTATTGTTAAAATTGCCCCATTTGCTGCACGACGAAGAGTTGTTGAATCGTGTTATCACATCTTTAGTTAAATCTGGTATGAATTTAGCTTTAAAATCTCCTACCATTCAATTCAAATCTATACTCTCTATTCACATCAATTCTGTAATTTTTCATTCAAAATACCAATAGAACTGTACGAATTGGCCGGAGATTTATCGCAGAAAATGAATCAACCAAATGCGGCAATTGATTATTATCGCAAGGGAAAAGTGTTTGCCCGAGCGATCGAATTGGCGCGAGGTGTGTCACCGGAGGAAGTGACCACATTGGAAGAAGAATGGGGTGATTGGTTGGTGAGTCGACGACAGGCTGACGCTTCAATTAGCCATTACATCGAAGCTGGAGCAACGGTCAAGGCGCTAGAAGCAGCAGTCCAAGCAAAGCAATATCTCAAAGCGGTTCAGGTAGAATATTTAGATATGTAAGAACCCCTTTCGATTCTAAATCAGTTTTTTTATTTTGAATTTTCATTTCATATCATTTTTTTTAGATCGCCCGCGTCCTTGACGAACCCGATGAGATCAAACAATTTGCCGTCGAGCTCTCGGAGCAATTATCCCAAATGGGCAGTATTTCTTCGGCGGAAGAGATTTTGGTTCGTGCTGAAATGTACAAAGAAGCGGTCGATTTACTGAACAGTCATGGTCAATGGGAGAAGGCATACGATATTGCGGAAAAATATTTGGGTAAAAATATAGTGCGTGACATGTTCATTGACATGGCGACCAAACTGGAGGAAGACATGAAATTACGTGACGCCGAAAAAGTGTTGCTCACCATAAATGAGCCGAATTTAGCGATTGCAATGTACAAACGATTTGAGCAATACGATGCAATGATTCGCTTGGTTGAACAGTATCACCGTGAACAGGTGGACGATACGCATTTGCACTTGGCCAAAGAGCTGGAGTCAAAAGGTAAATACAAAACGGCGGAAATTCATTACATTGCGGCCGGTGATTGGAAAGCGGCCGTGCACATGTTTGGCAATGCAAATCTGTGGGAAGAAGCGTATCGTGTGTCCAAGCAGAAAGGTGTTGACGGTGCATCAGATAGAGTTGCGTATATGTGGTCGCGATCACTGCCAACAGTGGACGCCGCATTTAAATTACTTTCGAAAATGGGACTGATCGATTCAGCCATCCAGTTGGCATGTGAAGGAAATCAATATGAGTTTGCTCTGGAGTTGTGTCGAATGGCAAATCGGCAGGCGGATGATGTTCATTTGAAAATCGCCATGGACTACGAAGACGATGGGAAATTTGGCGAAGCCGAGGTGGAATTTCTTTTGGCAAATAAGCCAAAGGAGGCGATACTGATGTACACACACAGTCGAGATTGGCGTTCAGCCCTTCGAATCGCCGAACAACATTTGCCTGACGCCGTCAATGACGTGCTATTGAGCCAAGCAGCCGATGCACTTGAATCGGATAATTACGCTGAGTACGAGGCACTTTTAATTCGAGCCGAACGAACCGATATCATTTTACAGCATTACAAAGAGAACGAAATGTGGAACGATGCCATTCGAATTGCCAAAGAATACAATCCATCGTCGCTGAACGAAGTGAAGCGACTGCAAGCCAAGGCCGATCGTGGCAGTGGCCTGTCAAATGATGCAAGACAATTGGTGCAAGAAGCGAATGATTATGCGCGCAACGAACAATTTCGCAAGGCAATCGATTGTCTCATGAAAATCAGCCAAATACCGAATGCCGATCCGCAAATGGCAGAACAGGCATTAATCCGAGCGGCCGGCATGTGCAACCAGTTTTTGGAGGGAAATGATGCGGTTGAAGTAGCCTATCAACTGGCGCCCAGTTTACTCAAGTTGAATCAAATTGCGACCGTAGTTCAACTGTATTTAGCCGCTGAGCTGCCGAAAGAGGCGGTAGACGTGTTTATACAATCGGAAAATTGGAGTAAAGCACGACGATTGGCCAAAGAGATTGACCCACAGTTGTTGTCGTATGTTGAGAATCAACAGAAAGTTCGACTTCGCAGCGAAGGCAACATCGAACAATTGGCCGATATCGGTGAGTTTTTACCTCATTATTTTTATGGTGAATTTGTTGCTTATATAATAATCTTATCCGTGATTTTGTTTCTGTTTTTTTTTTCTTCTCTTCTGTTCGTTTTTTTCATGTTGGTTCAGACGTGATTTCGGCACTGGACTTATTAGCCGAACAGGGTCAATGGACACGTTGCATCGAAAAGGCGAAACAACACAATATGACTGTTATGCACAAATACCTCGCCCAATATGCGGCCCATCTGATCCAAAACCACGATAGTGTCAACGCATTACAGTTGTACCTACAATACGGTGCACCAGCTCTGCAGCAAAACTACAATATCTACTTGCGAATCGCATTGGAATGTTTTGCATTACGTGAGGCTGAAGGTGTACATGTGTGGAAAGACCTACGAAATTTCTTATTCCAATTAACACAATCAATTAAGACCGACGAATCAGGCGATGACAGCGATGCTGATCGCTTCGAACAACTACTGCAAGTGGCTCATTATTATGCGACTCGGGCTGCGTGTCGAGAGGTTCCTTCACTGCATCAAATCGCTGTCAAAATATCCGTTGCCATTCTACGTTACACCGAATTCATTCCCGTTGATAAGGCATTCTTTGAGGCTGGCATGGATTTACGGTCACTGAATCGTGAATGTGAAGCGTTCGTAATTTTAAATCATTATTTAGATATTTGCGAAGCAATCGATGAGGGCTCGGGCAATTTAGTGGATCATTCCGATTTTACGGTCACCGATTTTCCTTCGTCGGTGCCAATACCCGAGCAAATGCACTTGCACGACGAACCAAATATACACGAAGAAATACGCGAATGGATCTTAGCCATCAGCATGGATCAGAAAATAAATCAGGTGAGAACATTGAATAAACTGAAAAAATACATGGAAATAAACTAAACCACTTACTTTGACGAAAATTTGACAAATCGATTCCGGATTCCCGTTTGTAGGTGCTACCGACTGACGATCGCAATTTATACGAATCCAGTTTGGATATTCACGATGAGCCGTGCATCGTTAGCGGCTATCCGATTCAGCATAAGCAACCGGTCGTGTTTCAACGTTCGCATCGGCAGGCCAATCGTGATGTCTGGAGCAAATTAACGGTGTCAGCCAAAATGTCACCGCACACAAGCATTCCCGATGTCATTGAATTTATCGAAAAATGGGCCGGGCACGCTACGTTCATCACCTATTGAAATTCCCTAATTTTACTCGGTCCCGTCTGGTTTCATAGCATACATTTCTATTGGCTAGACACAATCTTCGTCTTTCTTTCGATTTATTCTTTTCCGTTTCGTTACAAAATGTAATTTGATTTCTAAAATTCACTATTATTTTCTTTCGAAAAGGAAATGTTTTAAGAAAACTATTATATAATAAAAGACCTAAGCAATTCAGTGGGTGTAATTTGTTGTTTGCTATTGGTTTTTTTAGGTTGGTTGTGGCCTTAAATTTTTTGCCGACAGTGATACACGGGACACATTGTTGACATTGTTGTCATACGATGGCTTCTCTAAATGTTCCTCTAAGAGCCTTTTTCATCACCGTAGTATCTGGAAAGAATGGAGTTTGATTCAATCAAAATTGACATTTTAATTCAAAATAAAATGAATTATATTGAAATCGGATTTAATTCGGGAGATTCAGTCAAAACGGATAGTTTTCAAATCTATCACTACTTTCATGAACTCTTTCCTAAATCGTCCAAGAAAAAAACCTAGTGACCACCAACCATGTATTTAACCGAAAATATGGACTCAATTATAAAATTTACAAATTTCGCGCAATTTCTCTGGCTCCAGCTCACTTTCTCTCCTCCGTATGTAATCAATTCTTTCGCATCATACACCAGAGTTAATGGATCAGATGTGTTTAATAACTGTAAAAGTAGAAAAATTGATGATCAATGAGTAAAGTTCCAATTTTTTACAAATAAAAACGAAGAAAAAATTCAATGAAAAAATGTGACCACTTTAACGCAAAATTTTTCTCTGTATTTTTTATTTGCCGCACCGAAAATGATGCAATTATATTTTAATTTTTCTCGCTTCGAAATCGGCCTAAAAATTACAAACTAGAATTTGTTTCAATTATCTTTCCAATTTCAAGAAAATTTTCGAACAAAAAAAAATTTCTAAAAAGAATTCGAATCGAAGTTTTAATTTTAAAAACACTCACATCACTGTCATATGACAAACATTCATGCGTTCCATTGATATTGACAAAAACAGTGGCGTATCGCATGGGACAAACAAGCCAACTGGCATCGGTGATCGGATCAAATTATACTGTCAGCACCGGAGATGGCAATCGAAACTTTTGCTCACTAAAAGTCTCTTGATAAAATAGCCCAAATGTACAAATTGTTATCAGTTGACGCTAAAGTTATCTGTAATTGACCAAAATTGTTAGTAAACCCAAAAAAAAAATTGTATCCATCAAGTTTTTTCTTACTTTGGACTCGTTGCTCGACCAGCCAATACTGCAAACGGGATGCACGTGCTTTGAGAACTCCTCATGGTAGAAGGTCCCAAATAACCACCACCCGGCCAACAGCCGAAAATGTGCCGTATTCATTGAAGGAACAAGTGACAGTCGATATTCATCAAACTCCTCAACCCAAACGGCACTGTCGAAAGAAAAAAAACCAAATTAAAACCAAAAATGACACATTTAAACGAAAACATTTGACATCAAAACAATACCCAATAATTCCAGATTCATATCGGCTCACACTCTTCTGTCTATAGACACAAACAATGCGATTTCATCTGTCAAACAAATGTTTTTCACTTGCACAGCGACATCTCACCAAAATCTTTTGCAACTTGATCGCCGAAACGGACTCGACGCTACGGTTTTATGGTTTATTCACCTTATAATGGATATTTGAAGATAAAAAATATTTGCATTAAATAAAATGGGCAAATTAAATGAAATTGAGAATTATCGTGTATTTTTTGTTTACTTTGAATGACAATGGGATTTTCAAGAATGCATTCTTCATTTTTCAAGTATTTGATGCTCCGTTTGATTGGAGAAAGCATGTCTCTTCCAATTTTCCCAAGATTTTTTTTTTTTACTTCTTCAATTTTGTGGAACTTTTACAATTCGAATTGTATCATTTAATGTTTATTTTTAATGTTGAGAGAAGAATAATTAAATTGACATACATTTAAAATGCAAGCATTCATGCTTGAAAGTAGGTAAATTTTGTTGAAATTTTCAAGACAGCGCGATTGCGGTTGTTACTGTTGATCGATATATTTAATGCTTCGGTTATGCATAGGAGGATATGAAGCGCACAAAGGTGAGTTAGACTTACATTGCGCATGGTTAAAGGCTTTATGATTGGGTTGCGCCCAGCTACGGCATATCATAACATCAGATTGGTGTGAAATCGAAAAGTAATTGTGATTGTAGGTCTAACTGGGGTCGGACGACTAAGAATCTCTGAAGTCCATGACCGAGTGTATGTCTGGGCAGTAGAGATGCTCCAGTTGTTATTATATGGAGTTTTGAGGTATGAGCCATTGTGCTGTACGTGTGTATCAGCGCATTGGGGACGTTTTGTTGAGCGTGTACGATACCTCTTGGAATTATAATTGTGATTTTAATGGTAGTTATTGCAATGATTCACAATAAAGAAAGAGAAGCGGTCATGATGATGGATAGTAGTGTACCAAACGCGTTTAGTCTAATTCATCTATTCCGTCTTATACTGGTAATACATTTTGCTTCATTTTTAAAGTGTTTAAATTTTGCTCCAATTAGCAGAGTCTGACTAATTTGATTTCCTTGTAGGCCGGCGACCCTGGTAATCTATACACGACTTGTATCGGTAAATTGTACATGTTGTACAAAGAATGGCGTTTGAAAAAAGATGGCCGCTCTTCAAATCACATATTGAAAAAAAAGCGCAATCGTCGAAAGCATTATTATTATTGAATCAAAGAAGACTTTCCTATTCCAATTAATACAGTCAATTAAAACCGAATCGAAGGATGATAATGGAAGAATGCATGATCGTATCGGACAACAACAATTACAGGTGGTTTATTATTATGCGACTCGGGTCGCGTGTCTAGAGGTCCCCCCTTCACTGCATCAGGTGAGAATATTAAATAAACTGAAAAAATATATAGAAATAAAAACCACTTACAAAAACCATTTGATTTTGGATTCCAGTTTGCAGGTATTACCAAAAGACGGTTGCAATTTGTACGAATCCAATTTGGATATTCACGATCAGCCTCTGTGCATCGTCAGCAACCGGTCATGTTTCAACGTTCGCATCGGCAGGCCAATCGTAAAAAAATACTAAAAGAGCTGGGGCTAATAATAAATATCAGTCAATCAATCAGTTGACGGTATCACCGTCCAAAAATGTCACCGCAAAAAGCATTTCCGATGCCATTGTATTATTCATCGAAGAATGGGCCGGGCCTATTAAAATTCCCTAATTTTACTCGGTGTCGTTTATATTCAAATGAAATTGTTCTTTTTAGGTGTTGTTCAATTGCATAGCATACATTTATATTAAATTTGTTTCTTTATTTTCTAAACACAAACACAATTTTCGTATTCTTTCAATTTATTCGTTTTGGTTTCATTTCAAAATTAAATCAATAACTTGATACTTGATTTCTAGAATTCACTGTTAATTTTTTTTAAAAGAAATTTTTGCTTGCTTTCCGTAAAATGTTCAAATAAATTGGAAACAACAATTCAAATAAAGGCCTAACAAATTCATTTGGATACAATTTGTTTTTTGGTATATACTATATAGGTTTGTTTTGCTTTTTGTTTTTTTTTTCATTTACAAAAAAAAAATCTCAATAAAAATTAATTTTTTTCCCTAGTAAATTCTAAGTGGTTGTTGACGACTTGGTTCAACGACATTATTTTGAAGAATACATACAATTTTTTCAGTACAATTTTTACAATCAGCTTTTTTGCGTGACAACGGAATCGCCACAAATAAAACAAATTTCAATTGAAAATAAATTGTTTTTTATGATGTGAAAAATCAATCACATTTTGTTCATTCTGTTTTCTTTTCATCGTTTGCGTATGTGTGTGTGTTTAAACAATTGAATTGTGCTTAAAAGTCAAACAATTTTTAATGGCCGATGTTTTTTATTGGCACCGAACGTTGGTTGGTTCGATGGTACAATTTTGGGTTTTGGTACATTTTTTCATATTTTTCTTTTTGTGTTTTGTGTATTTGTATAGAGCGCGTGTAAATCAATTCATCCCGAATGGACATTGAATAAATCACCAGCCGATGGTAGAGGCGCCAAACCGCCAGTGACGTCAGGCAATTGTGTAAGGTCGGGCAAATTATTTAGATGATTTTTTATCTCCTTTTGAACATCTTTCACTTTGACCAATTTTTTATTGTATTCCTAAAATGAAATTAAGAAATAAGCAAATTCAATTTTGATAAATTGAAATCAAACGAAATTTTCAATCGGGGAAAAATAAATATTTTCACATTCGATCCGCGTACCTCAAGCCGTTGTTCGGCCTGCGCTAATAATTCTTTTTGTTCAGCCTGAAAATCTTTCAGCATTTGTGTCAATTTCTTACGCTCTTCCATTTCCACCGAAAGTCTCGTATTGTAATCGTGCAGAATTTGCGCGGCTTCATTAACCTGAATGAAAATAGACATCGGGCGGCAATGGAAATTTTTTTAGTTAAAAATTCAATTCAATTTTGGTGACAAATTGGTTATTATTATATCAACGTCAAATGAATAAAGGGAAAAGTTGGAAGAAAAAAAAATGAAATAGTCAATCATTTCTTCTTCTTAAATTGACATTGAAATTTAATAAAAATAATACGTGAATTTTTTTTTAAATGTCATAAAAAAGTTATCGTAGAAAAAGAGATACCGTAACAAAAATTCGCCGCAATGAAATTGTACCTGAACTATTAATTTAGCGGCGGCTTCTTTGTCTTCCAATTTTGAGAGCAGCGCAATCTCCGACACTTCGGGTGGTAAATTGGCAATACGCTCACGAATGTTGGCATCGCTGGATGCTGAGTTTTCTAAACTAAGTAGCGCTTTGATTAATTCCTCTGGTTCGGGTGGATCGCCTGTGAAACAGAAAGAAATAGAAGCAACCCAATTTAGCCATTTTAATTATGCAACGAAAGAAAAAGTGACAACAATTTCCAGCAAAATGTGTAAGACAGCTACTCACCGGCTGGTATTTTTGGACTGAGAATGACATGTGTTTCAACTGTGCCATTGATTTCGATTGTTTCCCGTTTGCCGTGCTCTTTGCCGCCGCCGCCACCACCACCACCGCCGCCCGATGTCTTTTGTTTTTTGCTCGATTCGCGTTGTCCATTTTCCACAGCATCGGTGCTCTTTCGCTTGGATGTTGTGCTGGCACTGGAGTTTTTTGCTTTATCCACCAGATGATTCAGTGCATTTCGAAAGTCTTCGATGAGTTTTTCCTCATAGACACCTCGGTCTTCCCATATTTTAAGTATACGACCTAAACTGCCCAGCGTTTTATCGTCACTCGAACAGGTATCGCCGATGTGTGTAAAGGCATTCTTCAGTATTTTACCAAATTCCAAGCCATATTCGGGGCCTTTCTTTTTACTATTCTATATATGAAGAAAAATGCCGGCACAATTGCATTTCATCGAGTATATGGTGCATTTGTGACGGCACAGTTAGTTTTAGTGAAGATTCATTTCGATTTTCGATCGAGCGATGCATACCTGTATTACGTCGTTGGCAAGGTACATGTATGTCAATTTCTTACTTTGAGGCACTGCTTTGTCCAACCGCCGAGGGTATTGAAAAGGATTGAAATGAAAACGAAAACATTAGGATTGCTTTAGCAAACGGAAAAACGTCTGATTTTTATTAAAAGTTCTCTATTTCAAACAACAACAGCAACAAAAACAACTACTACCACAATCGCAGCATCACAATAACCTCATTGCACTCGCATAGTGCGGGAGATGCAGGCGAATGCACATTGAGGTTATGGTTACATGGTGCATATAATCAACACACACACACACATACACACTGATTGAACTATTCTATTACCTTTCATCAGTTCCTTGTACCACGACTTGACGATGAAAACCATATGCTTCCTGTGATGGATTAGCCATAACGATAATGTTTGAATACTTTGTTGGCTCGCATTCAATTCCATCAGTTTTTTTATCAATGCCGTCTCCGTAAATGCAGACATTTTTTCTTCTTCTTTATTTTCGATTCGTTCAAATGATTGATGTTTGTTCGTTTTTCTCGTTACGCCTTTGCGTTTTCCGAAATGTCTTATCAATACACTTTGATATTCCTCTCTCTCTCTCTCTGTCACCGTCAGATAGTTGTGTATTTTCGTATCGTTCCTCTTCTTTTTCTATCTCGTTGCAAATTTCAAGCGGAGCCAATTGTTTGTATTATTTTCAATGCAATTTAAGCGTAACAAACATCACACCGTGCCATTTGCTGGTTCATATACTCCTTGCTTACGAATCGTTTTCATCACCACAATTCGTAATTAATGTCCGTTTTCATTAAACATTTGCCCGCTTACTCTTTTTTTTTCTTTATTCATGCCAATAGAACTAGAGTGGTCGAAGTAGAAGAAGAAAAACAATGTTTTTTTGTGTGTTGCTTAAGAAACGTAAATGTTTATGTATTGTGTATATTTCAGAGTTTAGTGTACGTAATATTAAAATTTAATTGATGACGGCTCTTTTCCCCGAATTCTTTTTATCTTATTTAGCCAAAGCAAATGATACTAAAGCAAAACAACACAAACAAAATGCAATATTATGACAAACCAATCACGATTGCTTGCTCATCATTTTTCTTTTCTTTCAAAAGACTTTTTGTTTCAAACGAAAAAAAAAATATTTTGTTCAAGTTTTTTTCTTCTAAGAACAAATACAATGTCGATGAATAAAAATACTTCAGTTGATGGGAACTTGAAAAAAAAACTCCAACTATTATGGTGTCCGGTTGAATTCCAAATTCGTAGCACACAAGTGATTCGAAATGCTAAACTACTTTCAATCAATTGTGTCGCACATTTTTCGGACGGTCGGTTTTGGTTCGGTATCGTTTGTAATATACGGTGTAATTGTGTCAAATCGTAATCGACTCTGACGTTTGCCCGATATTGTGATGCGTGCCTGTGTGAACCGGGCGTAATGTCCGTATCGTGAACATTCCATTATGTTTCGTCTTCGTTTTTGGTGAGTGAAGAGAGTCTGTGGTGAATGTGTTTTTTTTGGCGTGGTAAAGCTCTGTCGCCCGGTCAGAAACAGTGGCGCTCAATTCAATGTAAACAAATAATGCATGAACTACTAACCAACGCTAATGCAACAAACGATACACATGAACTAACGCTTATTTCACTGGATCAACAACAACATTCGTTCAAAACACCAAAAAAAAACTCATGGCGTCAGCATATTCTAACGGCAGACGATTTTCGTTTTCATTCCACATACAATTTGCATAATAAAAATCAAAACGAAATTATGCCACCAACAACATCAAAAGGCGACTATAACTGTAAAAAAATAATGTTTGACTACATCAACTGATTTACCACCATACGTGTATCGATTTGAAATGGCAAATTCTTCGATTCAAAAACTCAGTCACTTTTATGGGATTCTTGAGGATGTGACCATGTTCAGGGTCATCAAGATGTGTGTGTGTGTGTTTATATTATTTTGACTTATTTGTCGATCAAGTTCAGCGCGCTGGTGGAAAAAAATGAATTTTTTATTTATGCATATTTTATTGGGTTTTCGTTCAAACTGGACAAAATAGATATGGGTAGTATCGATTCAAATCAATAATTAAACAACAAAAATAGCAGTTAAACAAAATATCACTGAAGAGGTAGATGCCAAATTTTTCTCTTTATCTCTATTTTCCACCATACCTCTTTCTACCTCTCCAATTCTCCTCCGGTCTCTATCTGTGCATTATTCAATGACAAAATTCGCACCGCAATGCGAAAGAAAGGAAAATTAGCAACAGAAACAAAAAAAAAATGTGGTCAACTTTTTTGTATGTGTGCTACGTTTCTAACGTGACATTTGCATTTGCATATTTATTTGGCTGCTGCAATATGCTCTGTCGTCATACCCCTATAGAATTACAATAGCGTTGATGATGTTTTTTATTTCCCACTTTCGGTTCCGTCTCTTATTCATATCGTCTTTGAAAATCAGCCACTTCGATTTGTGAATTTTTTTTTTCTCGGTCGGCCACTTGTTCTTAACAGTTTTGAATATGCATCATTGCAATTTGTTAGTCCATCAAAAAATCATAAGCTGATTAAGACAAAACGCCTGACGGAATAATCATATATGATTATTATATATGATCACCGAGGATGAACGAACAATAAAACAAAACAATAGAGGACTGTGTAGACTGTCAATGGTTTGCAAATTAATATTGGCTATGAAAAGAACCTGTTGCTCGAGCAGAAAGTCTAATCTAAACAAGTTCTATTGGAAATTCTTTAATTAGTAAAATATCATCGATATTTGCCAATGGCCATACAAATGTTGATTATTAAAAACCATTCAATTGATATGATTTCAGGTTGAATGTCCACTTGCGTTAAAAATACGCGCTTCCAAATTGTGAACGTGTTTATTACAATAACGAACATGATAACGCGAACCGAACTCGATTGACCACCCTGGCTGGCCACATCGGTCACGTCGATGTGAACCGATCGTATTCAAACATTACCATCGTGTCAAAATACGAGACGCTTTTTTGCATGAATATCATAATAATTTGGCTATTCGAAGTATCCATTAAAAAAAATTCGTTATCGAAAATGTCTGCATTCTAATTTTTCATCGTTTACGAAGCCAAAACGGTGTGAACAAGAAATAAACCCTTAAATTGTACATTGCATTAGCATATTACCAAAAACAATCGAACTGGTTTTCAAGCGATCTGCATGGAATGAGTGAGCGATATAACATCGGCGATGCTCATTCTTGATGGATTAGTAATCTAATTGACTTTTCATCTGTTCTGCACCTCGTAAATCGCATTCGATATGGATGTGTGTGTGTGTGTGTTTTTTGTCGTTTGTTGCGAAATGGCAGTAGTGAGGCTATTTGTTGACGACAAGATGCCATGCAAACAACACACTCGAACTCTATTCACAATTGTTCTGTATTCGGTTCAATTACAAAATGCTGAAAACCAGTAACGATGCAATGATATATCTTGTAATGATATTGCCTAAGTCGCATTGTGCGACTGCGTAAAATGAATCGCGCGCGCACACACACCACATCACTCTGAGTATGTGTTTTCTTTTTCGCTTTTATTTGGACGGTACACATTTTGCACACGTAGCAATGAAACACCAGGTTGAGAGTGAACAGAGGCGCGCGCGCATGCCACTTGAACATTATTACGTGGTTTTGCGCGAGCACATTTTTGTGCACGCTGCAACAAGGTAAACAGAAAAGGAGTTGAGAAAAATAAAATAGTTTACCAATGAAGAAAACAAAAACAAAAACAAATAAATAACAACAAATTCAAGACGAATTGGCATGAGCAGGAGACTCCAGCTCAGTTGTGTATTCAGGGAACATGGAATACCGTTGTTTTTGTTGTTTTTTTTGTTGCTGCTGTTGATGAATGATATAAATGAAATTGAAACTGGATACAATGAATTGAGCACACCATCAAGCGATGGCTTAAGGCTTTAACTTATGGGAAATGCATTGCAGCGATTGAAATCGCGCACTTGCATACGCTTTTGGTTACTCTTCTGACCACCATTTCGGTATTGTTTTGTTATTTACGACAAAAGCTGAAGAGGAAGAAGAAGAAGAAGAAAAAAAAAATCAGCACGCAAAATCGAAGCAATCTTGCTTCAATTTCAATCTTGAATTCGATATTTGCCGTGTCCCGCATGCAGCGCCGCCTCATCGTCATTATATTCTTATTATAGCTGCGCTGTGCTGCTGCTGTTTCTGTTTTTCGCTTTCGTTCAACGTTGGATCGAAGTGACCGAATAAACGGTATTCATAATAATTCAAGTTGCACGTCTCTCTTTTAGGCTTCACAGTTTTTTTTGCTTCTTCTTCTTCTCCTCCGTCGTCGTCGTCGTCGTCTTCTCTTTCCACAGGCTGCAAAACATTTACACACATATACACATGACACACGGAGAGCCATAGAGACAACGAAGAGCGAGCTGAAGAGAGAAAAAAATCAACACTGGGCAACAACGAATACGCTCTTCGAATGTGGATTATTATGATTGCCGTTGTATACCGATGCTTGCCGCTAAGTTTGCTTCGATCCAAAATTTATTCCATACGAAACAGTATGTAAACGACCTTCCATCAATAAACATCTCTTTTTTTCTCTCTGTCTTTCGCTGTATGTGATTTAAATCAGTGAAAAGGTTTTATCATCAATCAAAAATCACTATCCAGCTCAATACGTAGAATTTGAATAAACGATTTAGTTTTAAGATAGTTTAGCGCAAAAAAAAATCAGAGCAAAAAAAAAGCATTACAAATTCTCTTTTCGTTGATGTACATTTTATGTCAGTTGATTTCCATTTTTGAACGGGACTCCGGTTGCTACTAACGGTTTTCGGTGCACAAAAATCGCGATCTCTTGCATTTTTCCTTTCAAACGGCTCTGAGACGTGGAACGATCATCATTGCACTTTGTAGGATCCTTTTCATATTTTTTTTGAATTCACTTCAATCTAAAATAATTTTTGTTTCATGTATGAAACTTTCGTTTAACTGAAATATCATTTCATGCCTTTTAAAAATTGGCCATCGCCAGCCTAAAACTGATTGAAAAAGGAGAAAAAATTCAATGAAAATATACAAAGTCGGCTATAATACTAAATTGAAATTCCTCATTTTTCCAAAAAAATAAAATAAATCAATTGATAGTAAATTGAAGTTTTGTTTTAATTTTGCAGCACGTACTCGATCACTGGATTAGATTGAAGGAAGTGTTTTGTATTAAGTGTCACACATATCATTTTTTTTTCTGGAGCAGTTGCAATCGATTCAAGAGAGAACACGATTCATGCAGAGGAAAAAAAATAAGAATCAGAGAGCGAAAGTGCTTAATATCGCTGATAAAGTTGTGTGAAAGTGATAAAGTGACATTGATCGAACAAAAAAGCAACAACAATTAGTAGAGTACTGAAAATCGGTTATCAAGTGAACGCCATAGCATAAGTGTTTTTCGACACTTTAACAGCCGACCAAAAAAAAAGATAAATTGTAATTAAAGTTTGCGAGAGTGCGAGAAGCGACAAATAATTTCGACGACATGTTTCGAGTTGCGATATTGGTGATTTGCTTTTCGATTGCATCGGCTCAACGTAGTGGCAACATTGTCGGCAAAGGTAAGCTGGTTCATAGCGCAAATAAACACGTATCATTGCGAGGTTTTTTTCGGGTGCTGGGTTCCAACAATACGTTTTATTTTTCTTCTTCAAAAAAATAACACAAACTGACAACAATATTTGTACAGTACTCAAAAACCAAAACCAAAAAAATATCAACTAAATTTAAGGAAAAATAATTGATTTGAAATTAACTGAACGGTTCATAGATTCTTTACGCTTCAAACAACTAATGGCCCAGGAGAAATGTTTGCAGTGACTATTTTAGTAAAAAAAAAAAATTAACAAGAGAGAATTTGCATGTACGTCTTTTTGTAGAAATGAAACCGAAAATGCTGTGTCTAAAGTAAACAACGTTGAAAACGAGATTAAACTATTGTCTCCATTGGCCAATTGAATTTAACGAATCGATTGAAAACGATATATCCTAGTGGAATTTATCTCTAATTGAATTGATTATTCGATGTCGCTCGCTGTTTCTGTTTCTTTTGTCGTTATTCGGCTTTTCTTTTCCTTTTCATTCATATTCATTCATCCATATCGAGCAGATGTGTGTGTGTGTGTGTGTGTGTGTTTCTTAGCAAGTGAGCAAAATCAAGCACGCACAGGTACTTTTAGTCCGCGCACAATCGTACCGCACCGATGGATGTGGATATTTATTGCATATTATATCATGCCAGTGAAAGTTTTTTATGCGCCCGCATTCGAAAGAGTATCTTTCTCTCGGGGTTTTGCCATCGGAGTATCTCTCTCTCTCTCTCTCTCTCTCTCTGTCGTTATGCGCATCACACAATTTCGTATGATATTGCGCGAAAAATGGTCTTGCCAAAAAAATGAGAGAAAAAACATTAAAATATATCGAAAATAATGCACCGCCACGCGTTGGTGCATTACAATGTTTGGCAGAAAGTGGCGAGATGAAGCTTCGGCAGAAAGAGAGATGGAAAAGAGTGTAGCCAATAATAAAAAAGTGTAACGAATACACACCGTTAAATGCACCATCCAAATGGCTGTTTGTTTACCTGCAAGTAGAAAAAACGGTTGTGCACCTGAGAGATAAATATATAATTCACATTTGGCCTTTTCACTACGCCGCCTTCAGCTTTCGCATTGAACCACAAACCACGCCGCGACGAAGTGAACAACAACGACAAAAACCGCGAAAGAAAATAGACTACACACTCAATATTATAGCGACATCTATTATTAAAATAGCTTGTAGTAAACGCATTCATAGCATTTCACTGTAGTTGCGATGTTACCTATTAAATTCCCCTGTGGTATGTAGTTAACAAGTGTCAAACATGAATGTGTCAGTACTACAAGGGAACTTAATAGGAAACATCGCAACTACAGGGAAATGCTATAAATGCATTTACTACAAGCTATTTTAATAATAGATGTCGCTATAATATTGAGTGTGTACACACACACACACACACACACAAAGATACACACGCCATTCAAAAGTGTCTAGGTTTATTGAATCGCTTTAATCAGCGTATTATGCACATTCAATTCAGATAATAAGATATGTGCGCATTTTTGCTTTCATTTCGATCGTTCATCGTCGTCGTCGGCATCGTCGCCAGCATCGATATTTGGATGGAAAAATATGGTTTTATATGCGTTGGACGATGGTGTTTATTTATTTGTTGATTATATTACGTTGCGGATTTCTTGAGTTCACTTAACGCTGTTCCGGTTTTGTATCGTTTTTTTTTTGTTCATTCGTTTTTGTTGAGCATAGAAATGTGAGTAAGGTCGAAAAAGTGAGATAGAAGATAGATGCTGAAAAATTACTTTCTCATGCATACGTTTGTCGCCCGCCATTCGGCATCATTCGGTACGCACTCAACCGATAAAACTCCACATTCCACGAACCCAAAGAAAACTAAAATTATTCACATTGTTTTGATGAATGTCATTTTCATCCAAATTTTTTTCCGTTAACGGTTATTTTATGTTAGTGCTTTTTGTCGTCGTGTTTGTTTACTGACTCAATGGAGACTCAAATACGATTTGTGATACAAATGTATTCTAAGTAGTGGATCGTAGTATTTTATCATTTTCTTTGGTTTCGCTGTGTTAGCCTCAAATTAATTGCTGTGTGGCAACTAGCAACACAACGAGTGAGAGGGAGAGAACAGAAGAGAGGAGAAGAAAAAGAAAAGAGCACCGAATCGCTGTAAACAAACGAACTAGATGCCAAATACCACGTACGACAACCCAATATCACGTACATATCACACCATATCGGGGACCCGCGCGACAAAGAAATGTCAGCAAAATAAAATTGGATGATTGAATTAACATTGAATAAATTGGCTGTGCGGTGTGTATCATTCGAAAAGCCATCCGATTTTCAGAAGAATAAAAAAAAGTAATCATTGCTACCAATACTTTTGTAAACAAAATATGTTTTTTTGATCACTTTCTTCTCACGTACATTCGGCTGGCTTCTCGGTTCAGTGCAAAACTGGCTTCGGCTGCGTGTGTATTCATTTGTCAATTCGGTTCATTATTACTGTATTTAAACGGTGTGTGGTTTTTTTTCGTTCGCATTTCTTTGCATTGATCCCACTCCATTTATTTGTTTATATAATCATAAATCAGGCGCATGATAATTGACGGTTTGTGTGGATGCATCCGTCCGAAAAACGTCGTGTGCTAAGTGCATTTCGTCTTCGATGCCAAACAGAGAATTTGACCAAAAATTGCCGTTTCATAATGACTTCTTTTTTTTAGTTGGGCTGACTGCTATTTACAACAATAAAAAGCCACAAATAAAGCAGAAGAAGCAAAAACCTCAATGGCTTTTGGTGTGGGCTTTTCTTGCGGTTGCAATTAGCATTTTTAAAAGGGTCAAGTATTCGCATCGAGAATTTGACGAAATGACACAAAGCAAATAAACGCAAAATAATCATAAAACTCTGCAATAAAATAACATGAAATGAGCTGCATCGACTTGAAACGCTGCTTTACTCAACCGATGCGGTCTCTCTCTCTCTCTCTCTCTCTCATTTCTTTTGTTTTTAATTGATTAATGGACTCGTTTGAATGACGTCGGCTTATTATGCTATCAATTGAACTTTTATTTTGCCGAGACGGCAGAGCAACACCATTTTCTACGATCACGCGTCACATCGGACATAATCCGTACGCCCTTTGTGCAAATTCGATTCCGAACGATAATTGCATTAATAATCAACGGTGTTTCATTAGGCCACAAAATTAGTGTATGGATGAAGAGAGAAGCAAAAAAAAGTACACATGAGACGATAATTACAGCCCTAAAGAATGGATAACGGTGTGATAAGTACACACAACACAAAGTCACACAGCCTGGATGCGCTGAGAAAATGCGCCGACGTCGTCACAACGAACGATGATACGAATTTTCAATGTAAAATGTCCTTGACGAAAGATGAATAACTTTGTGGCTCGGCCAAATGGCCTTACCCAGAAATATTTCAGAACGATGAAAAGAAATAAAAAGCAGAGAGCACATCAAGCAAAACATATTGTTTAATGCCAACCATCCTTATTGTTATTACTACAAAACTGAACGAACAACATTTTTTATCTGTGCTGAGCTGTGTGCTACAGACAGACACGATGCGCTTTCCATAGTTTCGTTTTTCTCCTTTGTTTGTTATGGTGGCTTTTATTCCTCTTCTGTGAGCCGTGATTTTTCTCGGCTTTTTTTTGCTCTAGTCAGAAGTCATATTTCCGCACCTCAGTCGCTAAAATCGCTGAACCAATACAGATTGCGATATATTGAACCCATTGCGAATTTTATGTAACAAGTCTTAATTTTTTTGATGTTGTTGTTGTTGATTCGCCAAGATAACAAAATTCGAAGCATTTTTCTGCTGCTTCTTGCTTCTTTTTCTTAATTTTTGTGTTGCTGTTGTTGTCGTCGTTGTCGTGGCCGTCGCCGCCGTTGCCGTTGCTGTCGGCATTTGATGAATGACATAACCGCTATCGCAACACAATTCCTTCGATTGGTTTGATCACAGCTAGGCACTAGATTAGGGTTACATCTAATTAGCTTCACTCTTTATTTGAGCTCCACACACCAAACCAACTTGGAGAAAGATTATCCAAACACCAAAAATTACTGATTTTCTTCTTTTCTCTCCGAAATCCAATAACCAATTAGCCGCATGGGTTGATGGTGTTTGTGTTTGTGGTGATTGTTTTGTAAAAAGTTTTTTTTTCCTATCTATTTGTTTTACATTTTTTGTTTGTTGTTGGTTTTGCTAAAAAAAAAAACAAACAAAAATTTCCGTCCAACGACGGGGAAAAAAATCGATTTGATTTGATTTGACCGAGAGAAAAAACCACTCTTTCTCTTTTTTTCGTTTCCTCCGAAAAAAAAACAAAAAAAAAAACTAGGAGTCGATGAAGATGAAATACAGCGACAAAATCGCATCACAGCACAAATTGTTGCCAATTACTTGGAACGCCGGTTGTTTCCCTTTAAACGTCCTAATCTTACAAGGCTGCCAACAGTCGATGAAATTTTATCAAGCGCAACACAGACCCCAAACCATCATAGTACGGCCGAATCAAAGACCAAAATTACTAGACAATTAGAACATGGCTCAAATGCGGCACCACCACCACACACCGACAGCGATGATATTGGTTTTGAAGACTATGCTAACGATGATGACACCAACAATGAACACTACTTAGATCCAAATGATCCAGAGAATTTACAAACCGTTGAATCAAATCACGTGGATTCATACTACAACGAAATCAATGAAAGCATTAGCAATCAGAACGAAGGCAGGTTTCATCCAATTTTTTTTTCTCACTTAATTAATTTTTTTTTAATTTAAAAAAGGAGAACTTCACACGGAAACAAGAAAATCCGGCCAATTTTTTGCTAAGAAATGCCATATTTTGCGAATGAATGCCATGTTTGCATAGGAACGAATACTATAGAAATGAATGTTATTTTTCTCAACAATATAATTGAATGTTAC